AGAGTTGAGTTTGCAAGAGGAGGCATCTTCATCAACAGCAGAGTTTCTACAAACATCCTGGAATGGCTACCCAGAATATTCTGCTGTTAAATAACCCAAGAACCAATTACCATCATTGCAGACTTCCACAGATCTCTCCACAGATGTAATTTCAAATAGATTTACTGAGGGTCATTTAACCAGTTCTGATACAGCCATTTGTCAAATACAGGCATGAGGAACCTGGTAACCTGACTATTACATACATATTGTAAGAAGTCATGCACTATTTATGAACAGAAATTGATGCTTTTTTAATTGTTGTTCTTCAAAACCACTAAAATTGAGGAACCTCTTCTATGGTTTAATTCTAATTGAATTCAGGCTTTCATCAGAGCGGAAGTATAACTGCTCCTCCCCAGCCTGCTCCATGTACTATAAAAGCTGCCCTGTTGTAGTAACTCTTACCATTTATGTTAAAATACTCAATACCTGAAGCTGTGATTACAGTGACCCTTCCAGGATCCTTACAATAAGGAAAAGCCAAGTTGGGAAGTGTTTGCCGTTACAGTTTCACATGTCAGGACAGGGCATGGTACCTTTCCAATCACATGTTACTGCTAAAAGCAAGGTGTTTTTTCTGAGTACTTTCTGCTAACAAAGTCTGTTCTTATTGCTGTAGTTGCTGTTACCACTATCTCTTTTAGCAGATAAGCTTGAGATCCATACCAGATCTTTGGCTCCAGTCCTGTATTAAGCCTAGACGCTCAGGGTACAGTGTCTGAAGGTGAAGCTGCCAAAAGAAATTTAAAAAGCCTTGAGGATACAGGAAATTCAGGGGGCACTGATTCAGGAAAGAGCCAGATGCTTCAGGCTGAGTCAGTGCTGAACCTCCTCACAGATTTGTAGGCAGCATTTTGCCATGACCTTTTTATAAGTTGAGCTGAGTAATCCCCTTTTCATCACTCATCCTTCTTGCACACTCACATGTGTGTGTGGGCTTTAATATAAAATTTTATATTAAATAATACCACAATAGTTATATTTAGTCTTTGAGCTAAATTCACACCTTTCTATCTCTGTGCTTTTGTTGTTTCCCACCTGATACAGCAGGAGACCTTTCTTGGAAGAGCAGTCATCACCAGATCATCACAGACAGAAATGTTCTAAACCTTTGTGACTCCTCCAGAAAAACACTTTTTCTCCAGTGGTCTCATTAAACATTTGAGTGCAATTGCTACTAATCTTAATACATAAGGAATTTTGTATGTGATAAATTACCCTTTCTGTCTTTCAACTTGTTTTAAGTTTGGCCTCAAAATGTGTAGCTTCAGCTGATTCTTGAAGCATTGAGAAAGTCTGCTGAAATAAAACAGGGAGGAAAAATGTAACATTTAAAAGTAGAAGTTACAAAAAGCAATCAAAGTATTATTGAGGTTCTTTTCGTAATCTGAGAAGAGATACAACAGAGGCCTCAGCCCCATTTGTTTAATTTTGAAAGTCCAACACAAAGCTTGTTTCCATGTAAGGACTGGTTACTTTCGTTTCAGTTTAATTCATGGGATACCTTTTAGAAACGGCCACAGCAGACAGATGTAGCATTTTTAAAATCCATGGACTACTGACCTGGGGCTTAACATGGGTGACATGTTCCAGGGGTGTGACTGTAGGTGTCTGACTGAGCCATGTTAAGGGATCAGCTGTGATGCTTGTCATGCAGACTATGTGTTGTGGATGGAGAGTGGGTTTCACTTTCAGAGAATTTTGGTATCATTAGAAAGTCCTCACATGGCTTTCTTCAGCCATAGTCTGTGACCAACAGTTCATAGCATCACTGTGAAATGCTGGAGGGGAAAATCTGAACTAATCACTCATAATAACTCTGCACAGACCCATGGGGTAAGTTTGAGGTCAGAGCTGAACCGATCTTTTGTGCAAGAATGGCAGTAGCTGTAATTCACTTGCTGGTCATGGGAATGGGTTGAACCAAAGCCTTTTTTTTTTTTTTTTCTGAGGTAGATAAGGGGAAAAAGAGCTGACAATGTGACTTAGAAGTATCTCAGTTTTACATGCAAAGGACCCTATCTATGCATGACCTTTCAGGCCTATGCAAGTGAATGCTGAGTAGGAACACTCAGAGCTCATGGTGTTTTATTCCAGTTTTGTGCTTTTTTGTGTAGGCTTCTTTGTGTCAAAATAAAATCTAAAGAGTTCATAATGATTTTGCTACAACAGTCACTGAAGTCAGATGCTGTCTGGCAGCCCATGTTATGTGGGAAATGAAATGAGATGCCTACTTGGTCCTTTTTGGCCATGTGCTTTGTGAATTTGGATAGTTGGAGTGACACTGAAACCCAGCTCCCAGCACCAGCCATCCATTTTGCATTCTAGTCATGAGAATTATTTCTCTATACTGTTTTTCTTTTGAGATGCTGCAGATTGTGGGGGGAAGAAGTGGGGAGAGAGGAAGAGAAAATCTGGGGAAGGGGCTTCTGCACCCTGCCACTATAATTCATTGTGATCTGACCTTCTGGATTTTCAGCCCCACTCAGCCATCCATCACTCTTCATGTGACTGTCACCTTATATCATTGTAATTAGCCAGTCCCAGAGATTTGACAGTGGAAGTGAAAAAGTCCCAGAAGCTCTCTGCCAATTTAAAATTAACCCCGTCATTACAGGACAGATTGTCCTGCTCCAGAAGTAGCTCCTTGGCACTTGCACTGAGATAATAGCATGGTCCTGCAGTGGTATCCAGCTCCTTGACTCCCTCTACTTTGTGTTATGAGTAGAAAAGTTGTCCATTTTTTATAAGTTGCAGAGTTAACAAGTTAAACCAATTGCTGCTAAGTTGGAGTTTTAACTATTTGTTGTTGATAACTTCATGCTGTAATCACCTGTTGTTAATAGTTTTTCTTTAATTACCTGTTGTTGATGGTTAGAAATCCCTCTTCGTCGGGTATCCCCCTGCTGCTTCCTGGAAAATGACACCCGGGACTGTGAGGGGGAGGTGACATCGAAGCTGGTATGCAAATGAGGAAGCCCCTCACCAAATCCAGCAAGAAAAACCCCTAAAACAACGAGTCACCATGGAATTAAGATATTTAAGTGATGGCTAGAGGTGAGGAACTGAATCCAGTGTCTGCTAAGATCCTTTTTATTTTTCACCCTAACCTAAATGATGTCGGCTAGAAAGAGGACCTCGAATGTCAAACTGAAGAACTGGAATCTCCTGGTGCTCTCATGATGACAGAAGCCCCAGCTCTGCCTGCAGACCAGCGGACACAGCTGCATCATCCTCCTCCTCCGTGCCACTCCTGGGAGCAGCGACAGCGTGGGCTTGACCCGTTGGTTTCTCCCCACCTGAGCTGATTTTTAATAAAGGCATTAAAAAAGGAGAAAGATCTCCTGCCCTATTTATTTCAGTTTGTTGTCCTTGTGTCCTCCCAGCTCTCATGCTGCTTCACCCTTCTTCCTCCCTCCATGCCACCCCTTTTGCTGCCTATGAGAACTGAAGCTACTAATGAGGGTGCTCAAGGCAGCAGTCCCAGTCCGTGGGTGGATGATAAATTCAGCTTTCTGTGGTTGTGCCAATTGAGGGCTGACTGCTCAGCCTCAGAAAAGACCTTGCTATTCTGTCTCTGTTCTTCCCATCCTTCTGGGACTTATCCCCCTGTGCCAGCACTGCAGAGTAGAGAGCCACCAGGGTCTCTGCCCTTTTGTGTGGCCATTGGTTCGTTCTGCTGTCTAAGACTCCCTGTCTTTGTTGCTGGCGGTGTCTCAGCCAGGTGGACGAAAGCTAGGTCAGATCTGCCTTCTCATGCTACAAGCTCCTCACCTTTGCTCATAAACTTTCTCCAAGTATGATTGGCAGATGCTGTTGTCAGACGCCTCTTTACATGGCATTTACAGATCTTGCTTCATTGTCTTTTAAGCAGGGGGTGGCTGGAGGTCATCCTTGTTGTTACTTTCTTCAGCTAATTAGGTGCAACTCCTGCTCTGCTGCTGTACAGGGGTGACAGCACTGACAGCTCACTGGAAGATTGCCTTCCCCTGGGAAATATCTCAGGTTGCAGGCAAAAAATTGAGATATGGAGATTGTGACAATATCTGATGCCCAGTCTCTGTGGTCATTCTATCTGTTCAAACAAATAGAACACAGTCAGGTAATGAAGGTCCTGATGGTCGTGCAGTTCAGCTGGGTAATGAACTGTTTCAGTGAGTGTGACAGGCAGGTTTGACATGGCCTGGGCTCAGATACCATTCTGACAGAGTTTGCATATAATCAAACATGTATTTGCTTAACCCATTCTGCACCATTCTGTCAAGGCACAGCTTTTTTCACTCTGACGTTCACAAAAGCTGGCCCCCTAGTCCTTAAGGACAAGGTGATGCCTATTTTTTTTGCAGTAGTTCTGCACTGCCATGATCAGTTCTCATCCATGGTGTGCTTTTCTCCATCGCCTTGCTCTTGCAAGCAGTTATAAAGACCAGTTTTTTCCTCTCTCTGGGAGGCTGGGCCAGAACAGCTTCTGCTCATTGCCACAAGAAGCGTAACTGAGAGCCCCTGAAACATGATTTTGCTATTTAGTCTATATTTGCTTAAGCCATGAAGTTCCTGAGCCTGCTCTCAACCTTCAAACATTTGCCTTTGCACCACACAGTTTACAGAGCCTTATGCCAACCCACATGGCAGGGCATGTTTATGTGAGCGCTCCTGTATTTTGTTGGTGTGCCTGACACCACGCTTCATACCAGCAGTAACTGTGCTCACTGAGAAGCAGGTAAGTGCCCACAAAGCTGTTACTGCCTTAAGCTTTTCTAATCACATCAAATTCCCATGGTTTGCCAACTACATCCACAGAATAATGTATCCTTTTCTTTGTGCTACACTCTAGCTTATTTTATTGCATGGAGAGCTCCAACAACTTTATTAGGGCTGCATGTTCTCTGTGTCTCTTCTCAGCTTTAGTACATTTACAACCGCTGCTCTTCATGAGAAAAGGTTGCATGGAGGAGTAGCCTTGAGGGTGCATAACTCTGGTGTTATGTGGTTTATGTGCATAAATGAAGAGAAAATACTTGCCAGTAAATGGAAAGATAGACATGGAAAGAACAAAAAAGAATTAGCAGAACTCTAAAAAAATCTCTGGAAGTAAAGTTGTGTATTTGGGGTATTCATAAGGTGAGGTATGACAGGCACTAGGGAATAGTCTGTGTTGCACTTCATGACTGCCATCAAGGGAATATGACAAGATTAGGAGGAATTTCTGCTCATCACTTAAATGCCCAGCTGCATTTTATGTCCACACAGTGCAATGCGAAGTCTCAGCACTCATTGGTTTAGGAGCTCACGATTTAAGCTAACTGGAAATGTTTGTGGATAAGTCTTGCACTATGGGATTGAGCTGCTTCTGTAGCCACACCCAATGACTCTTCCTGGTGAAGCATGATAAATGGAAGAGTTTTCTTCAGCAGAGAACACGTACTTGACTCTGGCCAGAAAATAAAGGCCAGAAGTTGCTATTCTGCTAAGCATGGGAGGCAACATCACGCCATCCTTAAGTTGCAACAGGTACAGCATAGTTCAGGTTGGAAGACACCTCTGGAAGTTTCCAGATCAACATCTTGTTCAAATCAAGGTGGGCTGAAGATCTGACCAGATTGCTCACAGCTTTATCCAGTCTTGAATATCTCCAGGGATGGAGAACGCACTCCTTGTCATTTTTCCACCTGCAGACAGAAAGCATGAGTTATACAAGTGCAATGTAATATCTTTGTGACCAGAGGAACTTGGTAACAGAATCAGAGCTGCTGTTACTCTGCTACTTGAGCACTCCTTGCTCTGTAGCTCTCTTTATCACTCTACCCTTCAAAGCATGATGTGTAAATAGTGTATTTTTCACTTTAGGAGGCGTGTCCCGTCTCTGTGCCATTAGAATGCTTAGCAACATGGATGCAGATGCATGCCACACATGCAATGAAAGTCAGACTGTCTCTCAGCCTATATTAGTCACATTTCCCAGCTCTCACATCATAATTTTTATGATGAATTCAAAACCCAGCAATTAAAAGGAGTGCACCAGTGTTCTTTTATGTCAGCAATGGGTTAGACTAATTGCCTTTGAAACTATCAGTGTCCCTAGCCCAGTAGTGCTGCAGTTCTCCAGATGGCAACCTTGCACCCAGTAAAAGAACTGTGTGAATTGCCTAAAACCCTTTTTATATCATCCTTCCAACAATATAATTGTATATTTAAACCATCTTCAGAATATCAACAGTTCAGCAGGAGTTGCTGGTTTAGTAAATCCTGGAATCCCTGGTTAATAAATCTTGACACACTGGGTTTAGTCATAGCTCAAGATAACTCTGTCACTCTACTGTTCTGAATCCTTAAACAAATTGCTTTGTCTCTTCATATTCCTGTTTGGCCTTCTGCTCATTTTTGGTATTTCTGGCCTAATGCTGTAAACTCAATTGTTAAGTTACTCTCTCATTATGGATTTGACAATTGACATCTTGCAATACCAAGCAAATACCCATGTTCTCCAGCTATTAACTATTATTGCTTGCTTCTTGCTCTCTGTCTTTTCACAGGTGAACTCACAGTTTTGTGCTGTTGTGGGAGAAAATAGGGAAAAAAACTACCAACCATTCAGCAGAAAACAAAAAGTCATTTCTTAGCCAGTGGCTATTAATAACTGCTATGAACCCATCTCTCTTAATATACAATTTCCTGACAGTAACTGAATTTGGCATTTGCATTTGCTTTTATTTCTTCCAAAAGCCCTGTGTCATTTTTTCCCAATTTAAAGTGCTGTTGTACTCTGAAAATTGTTTTTAATATTGGCACTATGGGGCTCTCTATTCTGTCAAGTTTACTCAGAGCAAAAACATGTGGCTTGACAGCAAGAAACTCTCTCTCTGGCTTTTGTGATCTTTAGATTATGGTGGAAAAGGCCTTTGCTAACTCATAACACTGCGGATGTCAGGATCTTCATGAACTGTGCAGAAGTGATGGAGGGTGATGAAGGAGAGCGTGACGCACAGAGCTGAGAACAGACAGTGCAGGAAAAGCAGAGACAGCAGGCTTCTCTCCCTTCTCCCTCTCTCCCTGCTACAGAGGATTTATGACGTAACAAGCTTTGCCGTGAGTTGAATACGAAAAGAATTTCTCCCAGACTGTAGTACAATCAGCATTTTTGCTGCATTGGCTTCATTGCTTCGCTTCAGTACTCTGGTGAGCTGACTGGCAAAATCCCAAGCTGCATGTTAAGATTCCTGCAGCACTGCAGGCAAAAGAGTGCCCAAGCTGCAGAAATAATGAAATTATGTAACTCATAAGTGCCCTTCACTTAGTCAGAAGATTCCCTGAGGAACAGCAAAATCCTGGAGAGGGTGTTGCCAAAATTCCTTTGCTGTCATCCACTGCAGAGGCAATAATTTGCATATAGTTACTGCTCAACTAATTCCCTGATACAGTCTCTGCTCTCCACACCAGAGCACTGCTGGCTGCTTTCATACACAACACACAGATCCAGATTCCTATCAACATGAGTCCAGGATGATGGGATCATTTATCTTTTCATTAAGATGAAACCCAATCAGAAAAAGCAATTTCATTGCTGTATCTAAATCTCTTACCAGCTTACTCTATCCTTTACTGTCTTTTCCTTGCAGTCTGAATACGAGGCTCTCCAGTAAGGCTATTAGATGTTCACAGTGCTGAAGACAATGAGAGGATCAAGGATCTTGGATTTCCTTCATCAATCACATCAGCATTTATTTGTTTACAGTGTGTTCTTTCTGTAGAAAGGTCTGCTGAGACCTCAGTGGTAGTAAGAAGAAAGTGCTGTTTTCTCAGCTATGCTTCCTTTTAAGAATATAAATGGCGTAGCTCTTTATGGCACCCAAAATGACATTTTTCCACAGATACCAGTGAATATATTTTGAGTTGGCTTTTTCCTTTTATGCCTAATTAATACTTTTTTACACTGTATATTTAATAGCTTTCTGGCACTTTCCGTGTAAGAACCTCGAAGTACAGAATTATTGTATCTATTTTACAGACATGGGAATCTGAGGAAAAGCATGGAAAGGTTTACCTGTCATCAAGGTCATACACTGAGTTTATAACAAAACTGGCATTTTCAAAAATCCTAGCTGTTCATCACCATTTCTTTCCCTTTTTTTAGCCATTCCCATTCTCTGTCCCTTCTCTCCTTCCTGTCTTCCTTTTCTGCTACCATTTTGCCAGTGTCATGTCCTCTCTTTCAGCAGGTCTTATCCCTGAAAGTGGGATTTGTTTTCCATATTTCTGAATCTGGATCTGATACTGAAACATTTCATATGCCATGCAGACTTGCTTGCTGCCAGTCCTGCTTCTCTTTCAGATGCTAACAGCTAGGAAATTCCATAGCAAACTCCCAGCTATTACAGGGACCTTGGACACTGCCAGTAATTCTCCTTTCTCCTGTTATTTTTTTCTGTGGCCCATTATAGTGTTGGATTTTAACTTTGTTGTGGGCCATTAGTATTTTTCTTTAGAAATAGGCCATTCTGAAATGTTGTGGAGCATGCAGTGTGTACAGACTCGAGAACAGTTTTCCATGGGACTTTCTGGACTCAGTATCTTTTGTATGACTGTGTGCAGTAGTATGTGGTGATGCAGCCCCTCTTTTCTCAGCCTCTATTTCAAACAAAATTCCTAGTACAAATTTTCTTTCAGTATTCTTACATTGGAAAAGTCCCCAGATTTCTTCCTGGCTGAAATCTTCAGTGTTTGCCCTGCAGTGCACCCCAAAAAAAAGACAGTCATCTGTGTATACAACAGTGTATACAACAGCTGGTTAAAGGACTTGTTTAGGCTTTGAATGAGGTTTTCTGCTCAGAATTTTTTCCTCTATACTTTTCCAAAAAATAACATAAATTCTGCACGTGGTTATTTTAAAAACTTCTGGACAATATACTCTGTGAAGTCAGAATAGCTAATTCAAAATTCTGATTTGTATTGATGTGGGCCCTCTTTATGTTTTAGACACGGTGTAAATGTCTTTTCTGGATAGATTTGTTATCTTGTTTTTAATACATTGAAACAAGGGGCAGCTGTTAAGAAGGAGGGGAGGCACTCTGCCAATGTGAGGACACCAGGGCAGCCCATTTCAATAAGAAACAAACAATTTTTCTTTTGCTTTCCACTCCTCCCTCTTCCTAGTGCTCCTACTCCCTTACATTCACTCCTGGAGAGAAGTAGGAGTTCAGTCTCCAAACTGAATCAATTCTTGCTGCCTTCGCTGAGACTGTCATCAGAGCAAGGTTAAGTGTCACAACAACGTTTTTGTGTTGTGAATAGCTTCTTCTATCTGCACTTGCTTGATACAAGCAGGCTTGTAACCCCTTTCCCCTTTTTCCTGCTCAATGCTACATACACACTGCAGATCACTAAAGCTGGAATTACTTGGCTTTACAAAGCTTCCCTAAAATGACTTGTCTCTCCCTGTCTCTCTCCTAAAAGCACCACAAGATCTCTGAAACCCTGCCTTTTGTCTGAGTGAGCTCAGAGAAAAAAAAAAACCTTTATTTTAAAGACCTATTTTTCTTCTCACTTGTTTTACATCTACCACCAGTTATCTGTATGAACAAGGCATGGCAAAACAGCAATAAGAAAGAGTAACTCCATGCTGATAAGATGGCTGCTAGTTGATCTGCCTTTACAGCATGTTCCAACTAGCTCTACGCAAGAAAACCATCAGTGACTGGAGTAACAACATGGCTGGGAGAGTCTCAAGGGATTTAGCCAATTCCAAGTGGATCAGCAGCCTCATATAAGATGGTCTGGTACTGGTGGAAATTACAGTTTTCAGGTGGGACAAGAAATGCACTCCCTACTGAGCTATTTTCCACAAGAGTAGAGACTGTCACAGTGTCTGTGCTACTTCTTGCAAGATGCTAATAACATTCTGTCCTTCTCAGAATTTCCCAAGTACTCTTCATTTGTAGAAGCAATCCTCTCTTCTTTCTGTCCTGAGGTCCTGCTAAGTAAATAGTAGTTACTCTCCTGGTGGGAAATTTACCCTGTGTGCGGAACAGAGAGTATACTGGAAATAGCAAGTGTCAGCCATGCTGTTTGATGGGATGATAAAACTTGCTCCTGTTGCTTAAATGGCATCATTCCTATGAAGAAAATTATAGCCTAATGGTGGAGTATTAATCTGATGAGAGGAACTTCTCATCAGCTTGGAAATCCATGTATGGTTGACAAAACATCATCTAAAGTTGGCCCCTTGTTCCCCCTTAAAGTTTTAAGTGCACTTCAACTTTTGAAGCTAACCCATTCTGCTGGAGGACTGCCCAGTCTTGCTTTGGCTTGGCTCTTTCTCTGGATTCCTGCCACATAAGAGATGTTAGCTACTTTGGTTGTGTTTTAGAAACATGGAAAATGTGGCTCATATAAGCTTATGATAATGGATTGCTGGACTTTTCAGACTGATGTTGTGTTTTGTGTTCTGCATTTCATGCTCAAGAATTTTCCTTGTGTAAACTTCACCCCTGTTGTTTCTTTGCAAAAAGAAGTCTTTTGGAGAGGGGACAGGATTTACCAAGAATAGGGAGGGAAAGTGGTTTGCCATGAAATGTGTGACATATTCTGTACTTCACTGGAGCTTTGCAGCAGAATCCTGTTTTGCTGCTCTCTGATATCCTCTTTTGCTCTACATTTGACTGATGTTTGTTAATGCTTAATTACCAGTCTGCACTGCTGTTTGAACCATCTCATGACTTGTTGAGGTTCACTGACCATCACACTGCCATCCACAGCCACCTTGGTTTTGTATCATCAGAGAGGAGAAAGCTGTCTGACAGAAGCACTTCTTACTGGAGCTTCCAAACAGACAGCCACCACAACTCTTACCTCATTGTAGCTAAAGATATACTCATGAGGTAAAAGGTGAGAAAAAGGTTATTTATTTAGTAAAATAACCTATGTATTTATATATTCTACTGCCTATTTAGATTTATATTTAGGTATCCCTTCCATAATTAGAGACCATCAAGGATTATGTGCAGAGCAGATATTAAAGTGCATGATTTTATTGTGAGGCCCTTGAGCATAAAGTTTCTCTCCACATCTCAAGAAGGGGTTCCCCACCACCCCAGCACTCACCTGCATGAGTGTGGTTGTGCTAAGGCAATGTATGGCTTCACACTTTCACTTCTCCTTTCTTCAGGTGTCTGCCAAAGGTATGGCAACATCTTGGCATCAGACTGGCTGCAGGGAAGGAGGGTTGCTTAAGAGCTGCAGAGCTGACTTGTGAGAAAGTTCATTTTTTGTTTGGCCTTTGCTTCATTCAAATGCTTTGGCCATTTTTTGTTAGTTGAGCGATGTCAAACTTCTCAAGAGGACATTAAGATATGAGCACAGGCAAGAGAGGTGAAATGCACAGCTCCTGTCCCATGATGGGGCTCTAATTGCTCTAAAGAATTACACACTTTGTCGAGTCCTGTTTGTAAGTCCTCTCTTGGTTCAGCCTATTTTCCAAAAGGGGGAAGTGAAGGTGAACTGCTTAATTTGCATAGCACTTGGAGACAAAAATTTTCAGAAAAATTAAGGCCTTGACATGGTGATTTTTATATGCATGTGGATGTCTTGTCAGCCCATGGTTGTCCTACAGAGACAGCATTTCCCTGAATTGCTATGTTATGCCCATGTGCACAGAGTGTATGAAGTGCTTTTCATTTCTGATAAGATGAAATGCCCTTAAAATAAGCCCTGTCCCCACAAAAATCAAGAGCAAAGCTCCCAGTGACATCTGAGGGTGCAAAGTATTACAAAACCTAACCTTCTAAAAATGACTGAAGTCTGGACAGGCCAGATTTTTCTAAGGTGCTAGTAATCTGCTGTACAGAAGAATCTCATTTCTTAGCCTTGTTTGCTGTACAAACACCTTTTGTTTTAGGAGCAGGCTTCCCATGCTGATCAGGTCAAGAACTGAACATTTGATAAGAGAATTTACAGCTCTGTGGAATGAGACCATAATGCTCCTGTTTGGGTACTGGAGGGTGTCACAGAAAAATCCTGAAGCATCTGTCTGAAAAGATTGGGGAGAATCCCAATTCCAGGTCTGGAATTCAACTACCCTGCTAGTTTTTCGTGGTTCATATTCCAAGCCTAAACTGGAATCCAGACAGAGGCATATGGTCATTCTGCCTCTGAAGAAGATCTGAAACTGCAGGCTGGCATTTCCCTGGCCTCAGTCAGAGCTGTTTCTACTGCTGTGTTTTGTGGCACCAGCCTGTTTCAGCAGCAGCATTAGGTTAAAGGATACCCAGAGGCCTCCTTGTCAATCACAAAGGAGTTCAGCTTTACTCCCAGACACATCATTCCTGCCCACAGCCAAGGTCTGAAATATAGCTGGCCGAGGAGAATTGCTCAGACATGCAGGTCATGGGCAGGCCAGGGTTTGTGCTTGGAATGAGTCAGCCCCAGAACCTCTATGAGAGTGACATTTGAAGATGAGGGCAGAGGAAGACGGGCCATGAGTGCATCAGTAACCCTTGTGTGTGTGCACATCTAAGCTAGTCTGTGAGTGAAGTCCCTGCAGCTGGGTAAAAATTTTGCTTGGCAGACAATGGGGGTAGCTAGACTGGCCCTGAGGGTGGGAGGAAAGGGTAAAGGCAACTTCCCACCTGAGAAGTGCCATGACAGGCACTGGACTAGATTTCATGCCCTTCCATTGATTTCTGTGCCAGGCAGCCATGGTGACTGTAGCCATACTAAAACCAAGGTTTTCCTCTTCCTACAGGGAAAAAGAGAGGCCAGAAAAGAACCACATACACGACCTGCCTTTGGAGCTGTGCTAAGGCTGCTGCTCAGCTGAGGACCTCTGGACTGAGTTTTTCTCTGCAATGTGACCAGGTGTCTTTTGATACCTGCTGCACATGGCTGCATGGGATTTGCTTGTGGGAATGAGAGGAAATGGCTCACTCTGTGCCAGGCAGGGTATTACAGGAAAACTTGTGCACAAGGAGGCAGGACCAAAAAGTGCATTTCTTAGGAAATACATTAGTTGCAGTTAACAGGATCAAGATGAGTCATGTGGACAAGAGGCAGTAATGGGACTGTTTCTGCTACTGTTTCAAATTTCCCCGTAGCTGCTTCACATATCAAGAGATCTGTGAAGGATTCGTTCCTGTGAACAATAATGTGGAGTCCTCCTCTTGATTGTAGCAGTGTGAATCAGGAGCAAGTCTTTGGAAGTGAGTGCGCATGACATAGTAAAACAGAGGTTGAAGGCATATAAATCCAAGAGCTAGGAAAGGGAAGACTTAAACATGAACTGAAATGATTGACAAAAGAGGCAGTAAGAGTGCAATTCCTTCCTACAGTACTATTAACCTGACCTTAAACTTTAGGAAGAATTATTATGTAAGGACTGCTCTGCCCTGTATCCATTTTGGCTTCTGGCTGCTCTGCACCATCAGCCAGCAGGAGAACTGCTGTGAGGTGCCTGGAATCAGGGTATCCAGCAAGGCACGCTGCTCTTGTCCCAGCATATATCAAAGGATACTCATGGCAGCATGAACAGCTCTGAAGGAGGAGTCAGCAGCAGGGATTGGTGAAACCCTTTCCTTACTAACACCGAGGACAGGCAAGGACTTGCAGGGATGTGTACTATTTAGTCTCAATTGCTAGTTCCTATTTCTCTCACTTCTGAATAACTGGCTGCTGAAGTAAAGGCTATTTCTAACCTCTTGGAAAAAATTTTACATTAGCTTTGTACCTGATCATATTGGTACTGATTTTTTCCACTGTTGTGGAAAAAGGCTGGCTGGACAGTGCAGCCCAGAGCAGAGCTACATGTTCACAGAGCACCTAGGAGCAAGCCCAGAACAGCTAAGCCAGCTGGCTCTGCTTCTCTGTGCAACATATGCCATTACAAAGAGAGGGTTTGGGATGTTTGTAAGCTCTTTTTGATGAGGCAATATCTTCTTTTCCACCAAATATATGCTGTCCTAGTCTATAGCTTTGCCTAATTTCCTATCAACAGCTTCAAGGAGACTTGGATATAAGGTGTCCACTTTTAATCCTCTGCCTGCAGGAGTTGGAGATGGGGCTTGGAGGACAGGCAAATATATAAAACTTGCTCAAAATACTTGTTCTCCATTTCCAGTTTCCACTTCCTTCTCTTACCATATCAGGAGATGTCTATGTTTCATTTCCAGTTCTAATGGAGAACGTCTGCTAGTATTTTCTCATTGACTGCATTCGTTTTAGAGAGCAATCTAGTAATTTTGTCATTCATTGTGAGCTTCTGTTCCCTCTAGTGGTGGCTGGGCTCTGTGTAAGCCATAATATATAGGGAGTTTGTTTTAGGTCTGAACCTATATTCAAGATCTGATTTATCCTCAGTCTTCGTTGTTCTTCACAGATATTCACTAATAGGGGACATTTAATCCAAGCTCTGGAGTTTGGAAATAGTCTTTGTATGGGCCTGAACTTCTCAGGACTTTTTGTGTCAAGCACCAGTCCACCAGCAGGTGTCCCAGAAGCCCACTGGTTTTCAGCACAGCAGGCACAGGATCTCTCCTGCCTGGTCCTGGATCTTCTGAAGACCAGTACAGATGCTCTGCCACAAGCAGGATGCAGCGCTAAATCAAAAGCACAACGTACAAATTAAAAGTGTGTGCCTTGCAGGACTGGGTGTGCTGGAGCCAGGATCTTCACCTCACCACATGGATATGCTCCGAGTAGCCTGCTGTTGCCTTGGTGGCTGGAGTCGGCTCTATCAGCACAGCCAGGAGAGCTTAATCCAGTGTAGTCCAGAGGATTAAGAACGAGTTTCTGCAGCACCGCACAAGAAGGGGTGAGTTCAGGGATGACGTCAGGCAGATATCATGTTTTGTGTCATGTTTAGCCAACACGGGTTGAGACGGCTGCTTATCATTTCCCGGTGCTGCAAAGAGAGAATTGTCATTCTCATACTCCAAAAGCCCTTCATCTTTGACACGAATAAGAGCTCCATTGGGGACTTCCAGTTCTCTGTTAGCAATACCATCAACAGACAGTAGTTTCTCCAGCTCTTGCAATGGAAATGAAACCTCTGTCTAAAGGAAAAGCAGCAATAATGTTGTACTAGTTCATGATAAAAGCACAGGAGCATGTGCTAGCACCATCTAGCCAACATCCCCATCATTACAGCACCAGCTACTCTCTCCTCTTTTTTCCATCTTTGAGCTCGATGCAAGTAGTTGTCCTCTCTTTTCAACTACAGCTCTTACTGTCTTGTATTCTTTGTCCTCTGGCATTACTGCACATCTTCCCCCACTTCTCATTGTCTTTCAGGGAGAGGATGAGAACTTGCAGGAAAGCTATTGATTATGCCCCTGTATGCAGGAGAGAGGATGAGATGTTCTGGTGGTATCCCAAACCTGAGATCCTCTGACAAGGGTGAAGCGATTCCTGCATTCTGCTTCCAATATGGGCCTGAAATAATGTGAAAATGGCTACAGTGCATGCACTGGGGAAGCTCTGCCTCAACCCAAGGCGCAGTCCTAAAAGCAGGGAGCGGTGAAGTCACCTCTGCTGCCTGCTGTCTCCTGTTGTAGCAGCCCCAGGTATGGATCAGCTGGACCCACCTGTCTCATTTCAAATCCATGTGACCAAAGCAGCAGGGGAGGAGCCAGATGAGCAGCAATTAATTACCTGAGGCGAGTAATCCCTGTGGACTAGGCAGTGCTGTGGGGCCAGGCATCCTTGCACACTATGGAGAGCAGTACCCTGTTTCATGCCATGGAGCCTGTCCTGGCAGCCCACCCTGTCTTGGAGCTGATCTCCTGGTCTGCTTTTCCAGGCTGTGCTCTGCCTGGGTAGTGACATGGAGGCAGTGCAGCAGTGTGTGAGCGAGGGCAGGATTTCCCTACAAGCCTCGTCCCCAGCGTGTGAAGGTCGCTGGCTCCCGGGTAAATTTCCATCAGATGCGGCACTCTCCCGCTGCGACTCAGCATTTCTGACACCCGACTGCAGCTCCTCTTTCTCATTTGATCATTTTCTTTGTAAGGGGAGCTAACAGCCGTTACTAGAGTGATTTGGCCACCATCCAACAGTGTGTATATTACTCACACATTTCCCTGCTAGCAAAAGGGGTTTTTTTTCCACTGTCTGGTTACAGCCTCTTCCTATCTTCATCATTAGATAGCTCAGAAGGTCAGTGCTAAAAGAGAAATCTTGGAGGCTTTCTTTACAACCCAGAGTAAGGGAGGGCCAGTGCTGAGGGAGAGGAAAGGGGTAAGAAGGAATGGAGGGTATGCCTGACTGAATTAATTCTTCTCTAGGATTGCCTCTGGTACAGCTGAAAACACGATCCTGGAAAATGCAATATTTATAGAAACTGTACTGCCCTGGTTGGGTAAATCTCAAGGTCATCTGATGATCACTGCAAAAGGACTGGCCAGACACTGCTGCTGTTGCCCTGGCATCATGAGACCGTGAGACCTTCAATTCAGCACTGAAATCTGCATACAAAATGGGATCGTACTACCTCTCCCTAACAACCATCTCTCCTGTAACTGCCTTAAGAAGGAAATGCACAGCCCAGTAGTGAGGAGGTTCAAAATGCCTGCACAGCTTCTTTTTTTTTTTTTTCCTCCTTTTTGTTGAGAACATTAAGCTATTAACTCTAATTCCCTCAGAGGCAGAGGTCTGCAATTCATTTCACATATAGGGCATCTCAGGAGTTTGCCTGAAGGACCAAGTGTTGGCCTGAAGCCAGTTCTTTCATTTCTGAGCCCTTTCCATTCCTTGAGGGAATTCTGCATGGACAAGCTGGATGCCAAAGTCCCCAGAGAGAAAAGAGGAGCAGAGGATTTGTGTTTTTCGCTACATCTACTATATTCCTGCACAAAGACTAGTCCTGGCCTTATCATCAGGTGGACACAATCCTTCCACTGCCCCCAAAATTACTAACTGTCAAAGAAATTGGTGATCATGGGGAAAGGTGAGAGCAAGGTCATGATTGCAGCTATTTCACTCTGGTCCAAACAGCTGTGCAGATCTAAAGAGTGAGGGGTCTCCATTGGAGAAAACGGAGTCAAGGAGGCACTGAGGCACGTACAGGAGGAGGCACCTTCTTAAGCACAGAGCAACATCTTCCCTAATGTTTTGTTTCTGAAGTATTTTCTCCAGTGGGGGTGCTTGCAAGTCTTTAAATTTTGTGTGTGCAGTTAATAGAGTAAATTAGGGTAATTATTTGTGTCTTCAAACATTTATTCAGCTGTTAACCAAAATTCTTGATTGCAGTAGCAGTATTTTAACCAATGCAGCAATGCAAAGCAGTAATAAAAAAAAAGAAAAAAGTCAGACTGTGACACAGTGGTCTGTAATAATCTTGATGCAACTGAAACAAGGAGCATGCAAAACATACAGTAAAGGTGAAATCTCAGAAGAGTAAAAGGCACGAGAGATACCTTTCTGCTGTTCATGACCTTGGGCCAGATTCAGCTAGGACACACAAATGCGTGTGCCCAGCTGTACTGGAGCATGTCCTTTGGTGCTCGCTCAGGTGAGGCTGGAGGGCTTCTGTGAGCACCTCCCTGCTTCTCAGCCCTGCAGCACTCCAGAGAGCCATTCCCTTCTGGGTAACTGGAACCTGCTCTGCTTGTCTCCATGGAAATACTACAAATATCGCCTGTCTGTCAAGCTGCTCTGAGGTGGATTCAAGCCTGGTATGTACTGTCTTGGTGAGGAGTCACTTCTGATGCAGAGTTCGTGAGTAGGCAGCTGGCCAATAATACACAGCTCAAGGGAAGTTAGGGGAAAGCACTGGAAGACTAACAATTCTGAACACAGTGTCTAACCTGAACCTAAGCCAAGTTCAATGGCTCATTAAACTCAGGTGACAGGATTTTGTGGGTCAAGGGGAAATGGATGAGGAAAAATGCTGTGGAAAAGCATTAACTTAATGATGCAGGTGAAGGTGAAGACTGTATGTGAACAAGCAGTGCTGTACATAAACATGTTCAAACACGAAAGGGAGGTATAGGGTAAGACAGTTTAAAGCATTTGACCTCCAAATTCCCAGATCGAACCTCCCTGCTCCAGGAAGGAAAAATTATGTATAGATTTGAAGGTGGGTGCTATAGGGAGAGCAGCAGTTTCTGGTCTCTGAAGATTAAAGGCTGTGAAGGGTATGAATTCCTAGCCTAGGATGGTCTGTCTTGCTAGGACTTGTGTGAAATTGAATCCACTCTGGAGAATTCATACCAGAAAGGCTGCAGCTCATACTCATGACATTCTCAGGGATTAGAAAGATGCATTTTCATGGGCCAAATTACTTTAGAGGTTCTGGCACTGTCATATCAAGGTGAATCCTATTATCCATCCGGGGTATGCAGGACAATATGAAAGCACCACTGGGGTATGGAATGGAGAGGCAGCTAACTTGCATGGGAAGAGATGGTTGAATGCATCAGTGGGAGAGAGGCCTGTGTGTACACTGTCTTGATAAACTTCAAAATTTAGGGCAGAGAACACAGGCTGAGCACAGTCTCTTCTTGTGTTCAGTGTTGTCCTAGCCATATTCTGGAGAATATAAGGCTGGCTTTTAATCAGTGAGGTCCAGCTCAAAGAGGCAACATTTGCACAATGCATCCAAAATAAGTCTCCATTAGGAACCCTACGCTATTCCTCAACAGACGTTTTTAACTTTTCTTTGAATCCTTTCAAAAGGAAAATACATTGCCCGGATTTGCCAGCTACCTTGATGATTAATGGAATGCTGAGGCATCAGGTGTCATCAGATGGCCTCACACAGGGGTCTGGTAAACAAGAAAGACAAAGCTGTAGCTCAAACATTGTGGAGGCCTTTGTCTGCTTGGTTTTTTTTCTCTTATTTTTTAATGCTTCTTGTTGAAAAACTGTAGTGTAATAATTATTATGCTTATGTACCAACACATGTAAAGGAGGCATGAGTAAAATTCTCTTCTTAGGCCTTGTTCTTTGGCTATAGCACCAACTCCACAGTCATTTTCTCCTGCTGGATGTAGGATCAATAATAAGTATATACATTTTTAACACTAGAGCAACCATGCCAAACAGTGCCAAAGAGGCCCTAGAGAGAGTGCACAGGTTAGGGGTATGTCAGGTAAGAGGAACATAATCTATTCATTCACTCCCTCTAACACTTTCATGCCTTTTAAATTATGAAGAAGTCACAAGAGTCTCCGCCTCCTTGCACATTTTTGAAAGAACTCCAAGCAGAATGACCTCCTTCTCTGTTCTCTTGGTGAGAGGACACCCTTCTGCCTACAGTGAAAGGAAGAAAATACAAGCATCTGCTAGTCCAGCAGACATATTTCAGCAGTGGAAGTTTACAGGTTTTGCCTGGTATTTTCCCTCTTCCTAAAGCACATGTTAACAATTTTGACCTTTCTAGTAATTTGATTCCAAAAACAGTGTTGCAGCAGCTGAGCCCTAAGATGCCATTTGGAAGATTATTATCACCCTTAAATCAAAGCAAGCAGCTGCTCGTTCAAGCCTGTATGGAGATCCCCTCACTCATGCAGATCCTCCTCTCTCATCTCTCAGTGTCCTCAGCCCTGGGCCTGCTGTCAAGAACTTCCAGTCTTCTTAGCCAATGTAAAGGACAAATATGCTGCCAATTCTCTGCATTTGTGTAGTACAAAAAAGCTGTAGGAGAGCCAAGCTGGTTGAATATACTAAAGGCATCCTTGCACCCAGGTACCTCGGATAGAGGGGGCAGGATCTGTAAAAACTTTTGTTCATGGCGTGCAATTAGTTGAAACGACACCTAGGCTATTTGCAGATAGATCAGAAAGCGTTCTCTTCTTGCCTTAAGCAGAAGCTGGCTCATGCAAAAGTTCTCCTTCCAGATCTGCATTTCCTTGGCTCCTCCCACAGTGTGAATAATCCCTAACGTTTCCGTGACTCAGTGGATTTGCTATGGAAATCATGGCAATATTTTCAGAGTCATAGTCTAATACCTGAGCCCCGACAGGATCCGTGCCCCCACATCTCTGGCATTTTGCATAGTTATGTAACGCCTCTTACTCATGGCACTGAAGTCAGGAGAATGTCCAAGTTGTGAGGAACAAGTGAAATTTGGAGTAAAAATCCAAACCTCCCTTTCCCTTACTCCTGAAAACCTTATCATTCATGTTTGAGTATGCAACATTTTTTAAAATGTGATTTGCAGATATCTTGCTCTGTTGGTGAGAACAACAGGGTATTAAGTTGTTTGTCCTAGAGCCAGTTCTCATAAGCCCTAGAAAAACACTTAATACACCCAAGGATAGCTCAGCTACACTTTGGGGGCATAAAATAAGCAGGATGGCTTCTGCTGTGGTGTTAGAAACAAAAAAGGTTTAATAAAGGCAAAATAACAAACAGAAAAACTCGAGCCAGGTACAGAGGTCTGCCCCTGGTAGAAACACTCCACACAAAAGCCCCTCTTCTCTTTTGTTCTGTTCTTTTCTACTTGATTGATCAGGCGGGACTTTTTGGCTTCTATCCAATTAGGTGTTCTCTGGTGTTTGGTGAAGTCCCTGAGGCCCTATGAGGTGGCTTTCCACCTAACAGTTGAGAGAAGCTTCTGGGCTTCTTTCGTTTTTTAGGGGACAAAGGTTACTTTTGCCACTCTGTCATTAGGGGGCGCATTCCTACAACAGGGTTACAACTTTATTTTAAATTTCTTCCTTTTGCATGACAAAATTCAAGTTACTGTGTGGAAAGAAAGTCTGATCAGCTACTTCACGAGACTAACATGAGCATCTGCCTTCATCTTTGCCATTTCATCCCCTTTTCTCCTGGTCCCCTCCCTGCGTTTCCCTAAATGCTTAATAAGAACAGTAGCTGGGAGACCAGGTGTGTAAA